AATTTGGAGGACGGGCAAAATTAGGTCCGGTTTTCTGTGAAGGATGTCCGAATATAGATGATTATGGGTATCAAATTTTGATTTCTACAATTTTTAAATAGTTTTTAAATAATTTAGTTATTTTTCTAAAATGCTTTTTTTTTAAAAAAAATAAAAAGTCACGGATCAAATGTCGCAGGGATTGTGAGTATTATAAATTTTATATGCAAACCCTAGTATCATAATGATCAAAATTATAATGTCCTTTCGGTTTTGATATTATGATTTTACATATTGTTGTCCAATACTTATCTTTATAATGTTCTAACAAAATTAAATCATATTAATAGATTGGAGGTATTAAAAGTTATCAGTAAAATATTATTATAAAATTTTCTAATGCTTGACTCTAAAATTTGAAATTATTTCAGGAAAAATATATGGTGTAGCAAAAGAAGTGTCTCTAATTTCCATTAAGGTTTGCAACTCTTTAGGAATTTGTGAGAACAATAACATTATTTCAGCATTAAGCTATATAGGAAAGCAACATCTGAAAAATTCTAACAAGAATACAGTGATTAAGTAATATTTTATCTACACTATCATTTCTATAAAAACTTAAATTAACCTATTTTATAGTTTGTCCATAAATGGCGCTAAGTCAGACGCTTTAAATAATGCTACTGTAGAAGTAGGTAAAAGGGGTATTCATGTTGTTATCCCTGCGGGAAATTTCCGACAAGACGCTTGTGAAACCTCACCATCATCAGCACCTAATGGCATAACAGTTGGAGCTACTGTTACTGATACTGATAGCATCACAGACTTTTCAAACTTTGGAAAATGTATTAATATTTTTGCACCAGGTAACAACTTAAAACTTGCATTACGGCGAACTTGCGGAATTGATTTTTTATTAACTTGACATATTAAAATATTAAAGATTTTAAATAAAAAAACCGATTCCACAAATCAGTCATAATGAACAATAAATACTTTCATATATACAATAATTGATTGCTATTTTATAACTAGGCACGGATATCACTGCAGCTGGTAATACGTCTGCTACCGACTTACTTATAGAATCAGGAACCAGTCAAGCATCCCCTCACGGTTTGTGATTATAAATATTCTATTAATCGAAGTTTGTTTATATATATAGTAGTATTCATCCCAAGCTTTCTATCAAATAGTCGCTGGAACAGTTGCTTTGATTATTGCATCTAGCGGAAATAGATCTCCTGATGAAATGAAGCAATTCCTC